AGAGAGAGAGAGAGAGAGAGAGAGAGAGAGAGAGAGAGAGAGAGAGAGAGAGAGAGAGCAACAAAAGAGCAAAGAATAAAGAAAGACCAACACCAACATAAAAAGAGAAGAAGTCAAATTATTGTTATCATTATTATTATTATTATTATTCTTTTTTTTTTCTCTCTCTCTCCGCCCCCCCATTTATTTATCTCTCTCTTCCTATGTCTCTTGTAAGGGCAATTGCTTAACCAAAACTGAAGCTGATCATAAAAAAATATGCCATTAAGGCAACGCCTGGACGACCGCCAAATCAACATCTCTCTCTTCCTATCTCTCTTATAAGACCGTATAACTTCCTTCACTGGAACGATAGTCTTGTAGCACCTCACGAACATAAACTTGTTGCAACATTTGGCAACGATACTCCTCAAAAGTTTCGAATCGACCTTGTCTTTGCCGATTGTAATTGAGATGAATTGCAACATCAACACATCTCCAAGTGTTCATGCTCGTATTCAACTCGACTGCTGCTTCCACAATATCCTGCACCTTGTGAGAACTGTCAAGATAGGACAGGTGTGCAAGTGTCTTTTTGGGACCAATAGATGCAAGAGAGTCATAAATGGTATTGTTAAAATTAGAAGAACTTGTTATTCCAATGGTCCTCTATAAACAAGTAAATGGTCTCTTGATGGTGTAAGAGTGTGCACAACACAACAGACAGGAGACGGAGTACCCATAGCGCCCGGCGAATCAGAAACAACCACATAAGTAGTCACAATCGGCGTTGATATATTGGAGGGTGAAGCAGAATCCGCAAGACGTCGAAAATTTGGAGGAGATGATTTTCGGAGGGGGCGTCTAAGGACCGGAGCGGAATGAGGAGCAGAAGAAGCAACCACATGAGGAATCATTTTCAGAAGTTATTGTATCCGTGCACATCTGTGAAAGGGTTGGGGAATAGTCCCTTTTGTCGGACAATGTGGCAAATCAAATGCCATCCTTGTAATCTCCTCATTAGAGAGAGCAACATACTCATCGGTCAAAAGTGAATTCAACATGGAAGAAACCTCCAAATCCGAAACATTCAACGGGTCTGGAGGAAGAGGGGATTTTCGTTCCAACCACATATTAGTGAGTTTGTTTCTTTTCCACTTGAGCAAGTTTTCCCATATACGACTGTGACACTTTTGACAAACATTTTAAAAAACACCTCAGTCAAGACATTTTGGATGTCAACCTTCTTCACATCGTCAAACCATCTAGCAAGGTAAGCGCATGGATTCGGAGTGCGAATTCTGCGTGCATTATCATCATCCGACACAACAATAACCCCCAAACGATCTTGTGGTTGCTATGTGGTGCAAACATCTTTTTCGTGTACACTACATTGAGATTGCGAACACGAATCACGAGCACGTGCAAGTTCACCGACCCGTCGACACAATGGACGAGATCCAAGCGCATCGGGAAGAAGCGCATTCAGCGCTCTCACAACTTGAGTTCCTGTTTCAACAACAACAGGTTGTCGTCCCGCTTGATTATTAGAGAATGTAGGCTCAAGCAATTCGGGCGAATCTAAAGGATTAGATTTCCTACCACGACTTTTTTTTTTCTTGAATGTAGAATCAACACAGTGTTTTTTCGAATCACTTGTAGTGTCATCATCCTGGTAACCAGGAAAGGTAAGGTTATTAGGTCGATCCGACAGACCTCTGCGCGAACCATTCCCATCAACACGACAACCGTCACCACCCTCCTCCACAAACATATTCTCAGCATCCTCAAGGGTATTCCCTCCTGAACATCGATGTTCAACTTCACCAAGAGGAGCATGATCGCCTCGAGCATGTTCACTTCCAAAATTCACCGACCTCTCATCATTTCCACTCTTTTTCGACCTCTCCGAATGTTCAGCTCCAACTTTCGATGTAACATTTGTATGATATTGATTAGTATTGCTGGTTCCCATTGCTTTCCTCTTAGCACGAATGTCGTACTTATGCGGCATTCGGCACTCGCCTGCAAAGAAAAAATATGACGGAATTATTTGGAATGTGAAGGCTCGACGAAAAGAAAAAAAAAAAAACTCACCCCAAAAGTCCATGATATACAATATTCTTCGTTAAAAAATTCTTATCAGGCAATGCAACACGGATGTTGTTGGGATGGTCAACACACGACAAGGCAAGACAATTTGCGTAGCCAAACCCCGATACGCGATACCGTTTGTCCTTGTGACTTGTTAATCGTTACAGCAAAAGTAAGACGGACGGTAAATTGCCTCCTAAACCATTTGAACCCCGTGGTTTCACCATCACTTGTCAAATCAGTTTTGGGGATCAGTGTTGTCTTACCCGTGTGCATTAATGTCACTTCGAACAAATCATCATTGACGAATTTTTTCTACGTTGCCACTTGTACGCACCCTCGTACGAGTACGGACTCGTACTCTTGTACTCGTACGCTACTCGTACGTTAGGGATCCTGTACGAGTTTTTTTTTTTTTTTTTGAGGTGGTGCAATAATGTTCCGGTGGAGCCAACGCCTACTTCTGAGATCTGGGCCTCGTGCTCAGGCGAGGAAAATGGGTGCTGCGGACTACTTCCTAGTGGTCGGGGCTCGGAAAGGTCGGCGAAGACATGTTACCTTTTTCAAATCTTTTGTGGACGGATGACTGACTTAGGATACCTAAGGCTGGCCGCAAGCAGGAGCCGCCTCGATTATGGTGGATTGGAGTCAAAAGAAGTTCCGATCCCAGTGATAAATTTATCCGAACAGGAAAGTGAACCCTGCTAGAGAATGACAAAAGGCAAACGTCGATAGACGAGGTATGTATGACGCTATCGCATGGGGCCCTGAAAAGACTAAGGGGCGTATAGGATCATAAATCGAACATAAGAAACGAATGAGGCAAACGAAAAAAATAGGAGGCGTGTTAATTAACCTGAATAGGAGTTCAAAGAAGTTCTGGTCCCGATCAAACATTTGCAAGAACATGAAAGTGGACCTGTACATCTATGTTTGCACGAACGAATAAATTGTGATGTGAAGTAACGTTGATTAACCTCGATAGGCGCGCTCAAGAAAAAAAAAGAACGAACTAACTCCTTTTTTGTTTTTTTATCGTCTGTGATTCGCATTATGGCTGCGTTCTTTGTATTGCACTATGTCTTCTTTGTTTTTTTTTTTTTTTTTCTACTTGACACTATATTACTTTTCTTCATATAATTACATTTATATATCGATGTTTTGAGGTGTATTTTTTTCGTTTCGGTTGTCTATATGCATCTTATTCCTCCTATCCACCGTGACGTACCCATGTACAAATACGTACGTACATGCCCATTAATTTGGCAGAGGACCAAGACCCACGTGACACTTCAACCAACAGTAATTTATCCACCATTCCAACTTTCTCTTCACATGGGGATAGGTCCTTGCATGTTCCGTGGAAGCGTCGAAAACGCCATCGGACTTTTGAAAGGATTGTTAATGATCCTTTCGTGTCTTCGCCGATAATATCATAATGTACTCGGTGTCCTTCCGTTGTTCCAAATCAAGTCGGTTTGTCTTCGTTCGAGGACCCTTATTCCTCATCCAACCATGGATTGGGATTGCGTATAGGTTCGGATGAACTCCCTGTCACTCTACGAGTGAGACGGCGATACCATCACAATACGAACTCCGCAAACGAGGACGACCACCTTCCCAAAGTCGTCGAACCCGAAGGTCTTTATTACAGGCGGTAGATGTTGTAGGTGAGCCAAGTGCTTGCAGGAGAGATAAACAACCGGTGGTAAGTCAAGATTATAGTCTTAATTGTTCTAATGAAGAACAATGTAGTGATAGGTCTCTATGTTTTCAACAATCAATTTCATCGATGAATGATTTCCCATGCCCCGTGCTTTTCAACAGAATGAGTCGAGGAGATAATAATATTGGTATGGATCGCATTAGTTGTCCTAGAAATTTCTCTATGGCCTTGCAAAGTGAACGTCCACTTGAAATTCCTACGGATGTTGCAATTAATGCAGATTCCGATTCGATTGTCGAAAAATCCGTTTTACTCGATAATTTTTACTCGCACTCGGCACATATGCACAATTGTTCATCGTCCGCATTGATTGCCGATGTCCCACAAACATTTGTGGAAAGTAATGTTTGTCCCCCCTTGAGGGATGTTCATGCAAATGCATCTTCTGCTGCCACGACCCCGCCGAATTCGTTGAACACGTTGATTAGAAAGTTTGTTGGATTTCATAATCGACGAAAAAAAATATTATTATGGAAACCAATTCGTTGAAGGCGCAACCGACGGTACCGTATGTTATTGATTCGACGGCTCCGTGCGAATAAAGTTGTGCGTCGTTTGAAACTTGGATCGTTGTCGTCGATGCCTCACCATGTGTCATCAGGCTATGATGCAAGTGCAATAGTTGTTGAAAGTACTATAGAGGCTGGTGAAGGAATGAAACAAATCGATAGAATGAATGTGAATGAACCATGTTCTACATCTTGTATAATTTCAAACAGAGGAAAAACCAAGGAAGACGACCAAACTTTTATGTTAAACGTATGCGTGCATTGCGAGCTTCGCTTAAGAATCATAGGAGGAAACAAGATGTGCGTGCTCATAAAAAAATTGTACGAGGTGTGAGACGAAGTTTGTTCGCTATGAATATCCTTCGAGAGATTCGACCGAGTGCCTCTGCGCAATCGAGGAGTGCATCTTCTCCTGCGAGACAATCACAGAGTCAATCTTCTCTGGCGCGACACTCGAAGAGTCTGTCATCGCGAGGGAGACAAGCGCATAATCCATCCGTGAGAAATCGAAATTCAATGAACAATCCCGAAGAAAGTGAACCAAATAGTCACGAGGAAGAAATTAATGATTCCCATGATGTTCGGGCTCCTGATCTTAATGCACTTTCATCGACACCCGTGACAACAATGTATGCGGCGGTTGAGAACACCGTGGCGATATTTGGGAATGCGAACACTGTTGAACCGTTTGGCATTGGAGGTCGCGATCCATGTAAGCATTGTGGTGCTAGATTGTGGCATCATGAAAGAAAATGGACAAAAGTGTGTTGTCGAAAAGGTACAAAGCGTTGTCCTGTATGGGAATGGCATTGCGAAGGCTCCCTGGAGCATGAGATTCTTTCCATTTTGGTGTCTCAAAGTTCCAGCGGTCGATTCCTTCCAAACAATGCGAGGATAATTAATAATAGTTTATCCCTTGCATCCTCGTGGTTGAAGCAACCGAGCGATGGTGTTCAAGGATTCCAGGGCCAACTTAGGGCTCAAGGTCCAATCTTTCATCGTGTCGGTGCATTGGCTGTGAGGGAAGGCGGACGTCCTCAGTTTGCGCAACTATACTTGCACGATCCTCAAGATTTGGACGATGCAATTGATCAAAGGGTAGATTTTCTTAACTTACCTGCACGTACACCCGATGCCCTACTTGATCAAGTAAAACACATATTGAGAAGGTTTCACGAATTGCTACAACGATGTAACAATTACGTGAAGGACTTTATGACGGTTGCTGATCTTCCGCCGGAAGCGGTGAACGAGAGGAAGTTGGTCATAAATCTGGATGTCATGCCTAATGGGGAACATGCAAGGCATTATAACCGTCCTATGGGTTTACATGAGGTGTGTGTTCTGATGGTTGRTRAACTTCTTCCTCGTGAGCTCRAGATTCGTTTGYGTGCTCCTCTTCCGGGGGAGCGGCAGATGGTTGTGATTCCGGAATGTTCTCGAGCGCACGACTGCTTAAGGTTTGTTTTACTTTTYCCGGAGGGAATTGATAGTTCGTCTGTTCGACGTGCCTCGGAAGTCGGATGGCCGTCAGGACTTAGTGCCAATAAGTACTATGCTTTTCACCTTCACGAGCGCGATGGTGAAAGACCTTGCCTCCTTTATGCAGCACCTTCTCGAATCCCTCCGCTTAAATAGGTGAGATTCCACAAAAAAAAATTGCGCTCGGAGTATTATCAGGATTTCAGAGACGCCGTGCAACAAAATCAATGCGGTGATGGTGTTGGGACAAAAGTGGTTTTACCATCAACGTTCACTGGGGGGTCCTGATATATGAGTGAAAGATATCAAGACAGCATGACAATTGTGAGGCAATTCGGAAAACCGGATCTTTTCATCACTATGACGTGCAACACTAACCGGCCGAAGATCGAACAAACCCTGTTGTCAGGTCTATGTCCTAACAACAGACCGTATCTTTTGGCGTTAGTGTTCAAAGGTTATC